AGAAAACTCCAGACACACTTTGCAAGAAAACATGAAATTCATTAGAGCTCCAACTCAGGTCATTTGGGGAAAGCAGGACCAGGTAAATATGTTCAGATTATTTTGCAGGTCTATTACTGGACGAATAACATGCTGAAACTCACTGTTCAGATATTTGTAATTATAACTTGAATCTTAATGCAAAAATTATTGACACTATTTTCCTTTTTCCTATTTTACTTCTAAGCAGTATTTTTCACAACTGTGGGATGTTTGAAAGGGAAGCATGACTACCAATTTGTGCACAGCAAGGTTTCAGAAACTGCAATGAGACAGAAAGCCAGCCAACCTGTTTAGTAATATTGACTGGGAAATAAATGTTGGCCAGAATATTGGGAGAATTCTCCTTTTCTTCTTCAAATAACACCAGTGAACTTCTACATCCATCTTAAAGAGCAGACTTGCTCAGTACTGCAATTAAATATTCTAGATTATGTATTTGCATATAGCAATGGGTCTAAAGTTAGCTTTATGAGTCCAGAGGTGAGATCATTTCAAAATACCATTTTCAGACAATGTCATGATGATGAACATTATTTTGAACTCAACCATGCCATAATTAATAGATAAATCATTATTTCCCTCCAATTTTTATCTCCTACTCTCCTGAATAAAATGATTCCTGCAGGATAGAATTCTATATGTACCAACATTCCTCTGATTTGCAGCCAAGTGCTCATACTATCATTATGATCCAAGACAATGTAGCTGACAGGATCAATTAAGAGTTATTAGTCCATCATAAATTGAAAGTAAAATCATAGTTACATATTTAGGATTTCAATTTTTATGTAAATGTTTAAGAATCAGATCTATTGCTATTCATAATTTTGATTTGAAATTCATTTAATATAGTGAGTTTTTGACCAAAGAGCAGTACAGTCAGGAAAAATTGTAACTTATTTAAAAGGTTTGTAGAATCTGTATCTTTTTGAAGAGTGTTTGAAAAGAACTGAAGAGTTTGCATTAGATTTAAAAGGCTCAAATGTATTTTTCTTGGATTATAATAAATACTGGTCCATGTGCCACTTATCCTGAAAACAGGACAAACAAGAAGCAGGTTAAGGAAGCAGATGTGTGGCTGGCAAACACAAAGGAGGGCTACAAGCAGAGGAACTGGAGTGTAAAGGCTCAGATGCAGACATAAAGAGAAATCAAACAGAGGCCTGAGTGTATCACAGAGAATTCTTGTGTGAAGAACAAGTGTGAAGAAGTGAAGTTTACTTCTTTATTTAAAGAATAATTTGCCTGTTAAGTACAAAAAGTAGAATGCTGCTGGTAATTTCTTCATCAGGGTCATTCAACAAATTTGGTTCTTTTGCTATATGGTTCTCCCACTGGGATCTAAAGATTCCTGTTCTATGTCCTTCCTGTCCCTAGGTACTGGATGTTTCAGGAGCTGGAGTCCTTGCTGATAATATTCCTGGTTGTAGAGTGGATCTCTTGGAAAACTGTGGCCATTCTGTGGTGATGGAGCGGCCCCGTAAGAGTGCTAAAATTATCCTGGAATTTTCAGCTTCCCTACAAAACACAAGACCAGAAAACAATAAGAAGTTAGCCTAACATTTATAAATGAAAGCTGTATTGCTTTGGATTGCAAATAAAATGTGATGCTGTAATAATTTCCCAGGAAGCAAAATGACTTGATTGAATGCTGATGGCCCAATATTGTCTATTAAGAGTGTTAGTTAATAATGTTTGGTAGTGCTTTCAAATTACATAAACACAATTTTGAAAGACACAGAATATTGCCAGAAACTAAAAGCATGCAGTATATAAAAAGGAACATAAATCACAGGAAAATGCTCTTCTTTGCCAGATTTCCTACACTAGATTGATCTTCATTTTGGCAGTCTATGTTTCACCATTTGATACAAGTAGCAATGCAATACTTTCCCATTTTTCAGTTCAAGGTCAGTTTCATAAAATTCATAAATCATTAGCATAATTTATTAAATATGTAATTTATATTTTAGAATTATTTTTGATTGCTCAGTTATTTAAATCTGTAGAAGGTGGTTACAAAGCTTTTGTGGTTAGTCATAACTTTTTCAACGGTGATGTTGCAGGGAAGGTACAGTTGCTATCAATACTGTTCAATAGAGATTTTATCATAGTTTTGATAGGAATTTGCATTTGTGTGGCTATTTGTTTGTAACAATGTATTATAAAATTTCCTCTGAACAATTGCTAAACATCACTACAGTAATAAACATTGTGACCATAATTTTGCATAATATCTGCTTTAACAGATATGACAAACTGGGAAATAAGTAAGATGTTCTATAAACTTTGAAACATTTATTTGAGATTTAACACATTGGTTCAGTTTACTATTTAATAAATAAACCAGCACTGGGCAAAGAGATTTCATGAAGTCAGTGAATCAAACAATAAAATGTTCACATAGGATATGTCTTCAGAAAAAGGAGACGTTCATAGTAATTTTGATCTTACAGGTAAATGTTTATGTGAAGAATATTACTAAGAAGTAAGATGCTGCTTTATCCACAAATCTGCTTTAGTTCATTGTTTAGACTTTTCCCCATCCTCTGTTATTTGGTTCAACTGAGATGACTGTAGATCATTAAACAAATAGGCTAAAGCTGTTCTCAGTGTTGAGTAAGGTATCCTGGTTATCATTTCTTTATTCCATCAATGACTTATGAATTCTGTGAATTCTATTGCTGTTTAATAATTATACTTAAAATATTTGTGATGCGTCAATATTCCCATAATAGACAATCCTATTTAAGTTGTAGAAATAAGTTTAATTGTTCTAGCCATCAAGTGCTGGAATCCCATGAGTGTTGAGAAGGGAACAGTGCATCAGCTGAGTTTGTCTACAATTATTCGGCAAATTGCACTAACTCTTGAACTCTTGGATTATGACTGTGAATGTTGCACCTGCAAAAAGAGGTTACAAGAGCAGTCCTCATTGTGCTCCACTTCAGCAACTCATGTTGAAAGGGATTCAGTTCATGGTACTGAACCCTCTGGAAAGGTCAATAGGTGTGAGGATGTTGTGGGTCAAGTGGAAAGATAATAGTTTACTGGAGATACTAATATGTATGATTGAGATTGAAATGTTTTCGTTTGTGAACATTTTAAGGTCCAAGTAAACAGTTTTCCAATGAAAACTATCTTTCACTGAAAATTTTGGAAAAATGTTAATATTAATTGATTTCTAGGATTGGATTCCGTAATATCTTTTCATCTCTGTGACCAAGGAATGAAAACAGAACTGTCAGAAAAAATAGTTCCTTCCTTCCTCTCTCTCTGTCACTGTTAAAGGGTCTAACTGTAATGAATTGAGATGGGCTTAGTTAACTGATCAGAAATAAAACTTTGCAAAAGCATATTGCTTTCAAATGTGATACAATGAGTGGTTTCACTTACAGTCTATGGAAAAGATTGTATCCTATGGGGTGACTTCTGTAGCTAATATCTCTTTGGGTGAATTGAGAGAGGTTTGTATTTTCAAAGTTTTGTTTTGTTTATCCTAGTTTGCTAAGTTGTATCCCCAATTATATACTGAGTGCATGTTTCAGTTTTTATGTTTATTTATTGTTTATCTTTCTTAGCATAAGTACAAAATTTAATAAAATGATTACTATCCTTTATTTTTAAAACTTTATTGGTTGAAAATATTAAAAGGATGTAGCATAAATAAGTGATGATGGGCTGCACAAGTGAAGAACCCATCTGTCCTATAAAGCACTATTAACTATACTGTTTATTGTAGATTTGTGAATAAGGCAAAGGTATAACTAGAAAAACGATACAATAGACTATTTGAAGAAAATCAGCTTGCTTACTGGAATAATCTTATGGGGAAATAATTGGTTATTTTTCACAAGGTCAGGATTCATGTATGTGATTTATTTGAAAAATGATATTTAGCCTAATAGTTCAATAAATGTTGCAGTTGCTAGCAAGTATTTTAGTTCCCTTGTATTATTTAGGCACATGAATAAATAATGCTCTACTTTAGAGTACAAGAATATCATTGTAAAGAGGGATGAAAATAAACATTTTTTTAACCTCTTCCATTTTGATTACATCCAGTAAAGATTAATGTACGGGAATAATCTTAAATACGCATGCCATAGGGCAAAAAGAAAAAAAAGACAAATGTTTTGCTTCCTGTAATGAATTCACTCCTTGCACACATTTTTCATTACATCCTAAGTATCTTTAGACCCTGTTGTCTTTATTCTTTTTTTCTCAGTACATCATATCTACATGACTTCTCAAACTATCCAAGTATGTTAGCATGGACCTATCCTTCAGAGTTTCTCTCAAACACCAACCCATATTCTCGTTCTTTTCAGTGGACATGAGTGTTATATCAATGTGACTTACTTTACCTGTAAAAGCCCCTAATATAAAGCGTCCAATATCCAATAAGGTATTTAGCCTTTGCACCTTTTCAGCAATCATCTTAAGTAAGTAAAGTAACTGAAAATCTTAATAGCATTTTTGTATAATTATTTGTCCTTAAGTACCAGAATAAATATAAGCACAAGTATAATCAAAAAGTTTTCTGTTGGGACATAAATAGCAAACAGATGTCCAAATAAGGAGTAGGAATGGTTAGGGAGCAAAAGATAATTTACACAAGGAAGCAGAGAGTATCTGTCAGAGATATAGTGAAAGAGGACGTATGCTAATAATTGATAACGAAAATGTATTAGAAATGTTGGCTATATTTAACAAAACAACAAAAACAAAGTTGTTGGAAAAGTTCAGCAGGTCTGGCAGCATCTGTGAAGGAAAAAACAGAGTTAACGTTTCGGGTCCAGTGACCGTTCCTCAGAACTGAGGAAGTTCTGAGGAAAGGTCACCGGACCCGAAATGTTAGCCCTGTTTTTTCCTTCACAGATGCTGCCAGACCTGCTGAACTTTTCCAACAACTTTGTTTTTGTTCCTGATTTACAGCATCTGCAGTTCTTTTGGTTTTTATTGGCTATATTTAAATTTGAGACATCAGCAGACCAGATCAGATGTGTCCTAGGATACTGAGGAATGTAAAGGAGGAAATTACAGAGGCACCTGTCATAATTTTCCAATCTTCTTTAGATTCATAGGTCATGCTAGAAACCTGGGGCATTGCAAATATTCTGTAATAATGACTCCTAGTAAAAGATTGTCCCATTGGTAGAAACATCTCAAAATCTGTCAATCCCTCTCAGAATCTTGTACATTTAAATAAGATCACCCCTCAATCTTCTAAACTGTAATGAATAAACGTCTATCCTGTTTAGCCATTCTCAAAAAGTCAATTCTTTAATCCTAAGAATCAGCCTAGTAAATCTCTTTTGAACTGCCACCACTACCAATATATCCTTTGAAATCTGGGGACAAAATCTGTACACTTTTCTCCAGGAATGGCAAAACCATGTACAGTTATAATAAGTCTTTTGTATTTTTAAACTTCATCCTCCTTGTAGTAAAGGCCAGAATTCTATTTATCTTCTTCATTACCTATTGCAAGTGCATGCTAACCACTTGTGTTTTGTGCACAAGAACACCAGATCGCTCTATGCTGCACTTTCTTAGAGTTTCCCTCAACTTAATTAATAGTCTGCCCTTTGATTCTTCCTACCAAAGTGAAACACCTCACACGTTCCTACATTAAAATCCATCTGCCAAATTTTTGTCATTCAATCAACTTGTCTATATCCCCTTGGATATTCCTTATGTCTTCACGGCAACATGCCCTCCCACCTATTTTTAGCATTATTGCGAATTTGGACACATTACACTCTGTGCCCTCCACCAAGTCATTGGAGGATAGTAAATTGGATAGTAAGTAACTGAAGCCCTAGGACTGATCCTTGTGGCACTCCACTAGTTCCATTGTTCCAACCTGAAAAAAAACCCCATTAATCCTGACTTTCTGTCTTTAGTGTGTTAGCTAATCCCTCAATCTGTGCAAATACCCCCAATACTGTGAGTTGCTCTCTTAGGCAATAACCTTACTGAATGCCTTCTGAAAAATCATTTATCTGATTCCCCTTATTCAACTCTGCTCATTATATCCTCAAACAATTTTGTTAATTTGTTAAACATGATTTCCCTTTCACAAATCATGTTGACTCAGTTTGATTGTGTTCAGCTTTTCTAAATGTTCCACTATTTCTTTCTTAATAATAAACTCCAGCATTTTCCCAGCAACGAATGTTTGGCTAACTGGCCTGTATTTTCTTGCTTTCAATCTTACTTCTTAACAGAGATGTCACATTAGAGATTTACCAATCTGCTGGAACTTTCTCGGAGTTTACGATGGGATGTTTACAGTGTCCTTCACTGTGAAGATCAATACAAAATATTGGTTTAAATGATTTAACATTTCCCTGTACCCTGTAATTAATGCCCCAGTTGCATTCTCCAAGAATCCCACACTTGCTTTTAAGCTATTTACTTTTTGCATACCTTGCTGTTTGCTTTTTATATTTCTTGCCAATTTACTTTCATAATGAAATTTCTCCCTTTTTAGATTTTTAGTCATCCGCTCCTTATCCTAAAAAAAATTCCCAACCCACTGGCCGTCCATGGATTTCCATTGCTTAGTTTTTGGTTGGATACACCTTGACTGCTTTTGTTAACCACTAGTAGTTCATCCTTCCCATTGAGTCCTTCTTTTTGATCAGAATAAATTTTTACTGAGAGTTAGAAATATCTATTTAAATATCTGCCACTACTCATCCATTGAAATTCCTCTTCGTCTATTTTCCCAGTATGCTTTGGACAACACTTTCTTCATACCTCTGTAATTGCTCTTATTTAAGTTGAGGACACTAGTTTGAGTCCTGAGTTGCTATCCCTCAAACTGAATTTGAAATTCTACTATTTTGTGATTGCTAACTTCCAAAGGATCCTTAACTACAAGATCTCTTATTAATTCTACCTCATTACTAGATCTAAATTAACTTCAAGGGTAGGTTCTGCAATGTACTGCTCTAAGAAACAATTCCAGATGCACTCTATAAATTTGTCTTCCATGTTACCCTTGACCATTAGATTTGTACAGTCAATATGCAGCTTAAAGTCACTCATGATTCCCTTCTTAAATACCTCATTATTTCCAAATTTCTACTCTTTCTTACAGAGATGCAGCTCTACAGGGTCCTACAATTGGTGTCCATATGTGACTTCTTTCCCTTGCTAGTCCTTATTTCCACTCAAACTAATTCCACATCATGATCTAAAGGGACAATGACATCAGAGATATCATAGAGTCACACTGCACAGAAATAGACCCTTCAGTCCAACTCATCCACACTGATCAGACATCCCAATTAGACCTAGTCTCATTTGCCAGCTAAAGCCTTCCTATTCATATGCCCATCCAGATCCTTTAAAATGTTGTAATTATACCAGCCTCCACCACCTCCTCTGGCAGATCATTCCATACATGCACTACCCTCTATGTGAAAAGGTTACCCCTTTAAATCTTTCCCCTCCCATCTTAAACCTATGTCCCCTAGTTTTGGATGCCCTAACCTCGGAAAAAGACTTTGGTTATTCACCCTAACCATGCCCGTCATGATTTTATAAACCTCTTTAACGTATCTAATTAAAACAGAAAACATTGTAAATATTCAACAGGTCAGTCAGCAACTATGAAGAGAAATAGAGTTTTGTTAACCAGAGTTAACCAGTTCTGATCAATGGAATTTAAAAATGATGCAAAAGCATTGAAGAGGGCATAGAAGCGATTTATGAAAATGGTTATGGGAATGATGAATTTCAGTTACATGGATGGATTGGAGAAGTGTGCTTATTCTTAGAGAAGAGAAAGTTGATTGGAGATTTGACAGAGGTCAAAATCATGAAGAATCTGAATGGGGTAGATAAGAAGAAACTGTTCTTACGGTGGAAGGTTTGAGAACAAAAGGACAAGATTTAAAATGATTGATTTACAAAGGAACCAGAGGTAAAATGATGAAAATCTTTTTTTACACAATGGTTAGGATTTAGGGCACATTGCCTGATGAATGTGATGGACACAGATTCAATTGTATCTTTCAAGAAGGAATTTAGATTATTATCCAAACAGAAAAGATTTGCAGGGCTATATGGAAAACACATAGTAGTGGGACAAACTGAGTTGCTCTCACAGAGTGACCACTGTAATGTGGATTTCATCTTTCCTGACATTCCTCTAATTCTGGTGCCATGGTGATCTTATCAAGCACAGATAAGCAGCCAATTTCACTGAAAAATTCTCATAGCAAATCCAGTAAGCAAAACCCATTGATTATTATTCTTCATTTAAAATATAGATTGGGACACAAACGGAATTAAGGTAAAGTGGAAATATGAACTATTAAAATGTATTAACTGTTTTAGAAATCTATTGCATTTTATTCATAATCTTGCAATTAAATCCATTTCCAGCATTCTGTGAGGATAGATTCAGTTCTACATTTGACTTTCTAAATGCTAGCGTCATTCAATTCTGACCAGCAATAGGAGAGATGCTTTCTAGAAAGGTTTTAATAGGTCACTAAGTTCAGAGGTCATTGAAGAGGAGTTCAAAAGTGACAGGACGTCAGTGAGTATGTGAAGGGGGAGAGATTTGTAGACTTCATATTAGGAATTCTACAGTTAGCTG